CCATGATATTTTTGAGCTCGTTATAAGCACCTACAAAATTGGTGCCTCGGTCGGAATAAAATCGGCCTCTACAAGATACAAATCTTCTTAGCGCGGCTAAGAAAGCGTCACTCGTGAGATCGGAAGCTAGCTCCAAATGTATAGCCTTTGTAGCCATACAAACAAATAAACAAATATAGGCTTTGGTAACTTTAGCACCACGAAGCCTGCCCATAGTGATAGAAAATGGACCTCTATAATCTACCCTAGTGCGAAGAAAAGGTTTCACTTGAGAAATACGTATAGAAGGTAAGTTACCCATAAGGGGTTGTACCGAGAGAGGATTTGTCTTCCAATACTTAATACATTTGGATAAAACGGATCGAATGGCTCGACGGGAAGATAAAATCGAAAAATACTGAGAAAGTAGAAATTGAGTTGTGCGCAAACTCGCATGTAAAAATAATTTATCCGGCTCGAAGGACCATGTGACTTTTCCCTTTAATATAGCTCTGGAATGCAAGGGAACCTTAATTCATCGAGCGGGCGTTTAAATTTTTAAATTCAAATAACAGGAAAAAATTCTGAAAAGGCCAATATTGTAAGGAGACTCACCTAATGGTATGTCTGGGTTCTGGAACTCTTGAGGGGTCCCTACAGGTTTTCTTCTGGAAAAGCGGAACACCGAAGAACACAAAATTTCCGATTTTGCAGTACGGCACTATAGCGGTTCATACGGTACTACTGTTCAAATCCAAAAAAGGTCCATTTCAAACGCACAGATGTGCGCCGACGCGAGTGATTCCCAATATATTGGCATCAATAATTAAACTGTTTTAATCAAAATATTAAGCGTCACTAGAATCCAATTACTTATGATAAATATCAACATAAAATAATTAATATAAATTAAGGAAAAACGCGTAAATACCTAACAGACTCAATTAATGTAGAACAAAATAATCGCTATAAAGTAAAAGTATGATATTTACGTAGAAAGTATTGGATAATCGAAAAATTGTGATAAAATTGCAATTCCGCCAGTGGCGTATAATTTGGGAAGGATTAAGCAAACACTTGCCCCTGTCGTGCGCCTCTGATGGTAGCCAGAAACGTTTATTTAACACAATTTAGTAGGCTGTATAGTATCTACACTTCCCGCCAAATATGACAATAATACGTCAAATAGTTTTATAGTACTGGACAGTAATAAATTTTTAATTTTTAAACAAAACACCCTGTAACTCAGAATGGAGACACATTTTATCTAGAGTTAAATCTCATAATTTGAGCTCAGGATTCTATAATTAGTAATGAATCACCCTGTATATTTTTAGATCGATTAGAGGAGAATAGAAAATTGCAATAATATGCAAGGTGTACCAATGAACCTATTTTTGACTTATTTTTGTATATTATTTTCATAAAACTCACCTTTAAAATTATTTAGGGTGGAAAGTTTTATTACTGTTATAAAATTAAATACAGATTCCGAATAAAATACAGACGGATATTGTTAGAGATAACCTCCGTTCGCCAAATAGATTTATCGGCGTTGACCAGAATTGTCTAATCTCGCAAAGGTTCCGTTTTTAGATTGGATTAGTCTCGTTCTGGGAAATGCAGAGAATTATGTAACTCGACTAACTTTGCGTTTTCCACTTTCCTCGTCGAACAATCACCCAAGGGAGAAGCCAAGCAAATTACAGAAACAAACTGGGAGCTCGAAATATGTGATAAACGAGCCTCTTAGAGGGTTATTAAATTAAACACTTTAGAACGCTGAAATGCCGAGCGACGTTTTAATTCTGCAGGTCGGAATGGTAAAAAACAAGGAATTAAATTAACTTTGAAATGAGCTATTTAAACACCTTCGTAGTCAAAATAGAATCAATATTGTAAAATATTTATTAATAGAGAAAGAATTTTATTATCAATTTCTTAATGTAAAGGGTGTTTTATTTATGTATTAAGAAAATACATCCCATTGAAATTTCAATGTGAAACAAATGATCTATGAGTAAGCTTTGGTGCCCTAGAAAACGGTATCGTCACATAGAGGCAGTAATAATGCGGTGAGTGGTTTGACAAGTCAGTGACTTTTTGAATAAAATGTTTTAATTCTCAACCAACATAATCTCCTTTTATCTCAATACATTTAGTCCAGCGTTTTTCCAATTTTTTATTCTTTCCAAATAATAGGTTTTCTCAAGGCTCTCAAAATAGATGTTTGTTTCAGTGATGACCTCTTCATTCAACCCAAATCTCTTAGATTAAACTAGATTAGATTTAATTAGGCCTTTGGACCATGTGGCCTCCGCCACCTTGACCTTTTCAGATCTATTGTGGATATCCTATAATCGTTGTTTAAAGTACCTTGTCTAGTTTTTTTTTTAGAACATTTCATAGACTAGAAACTGGTTCTCTGGCATAGCTAGTTGCCCTTGGTTTTTATTCTCCAAGTGTAAGAAATCTAAGTTCTGATAGACCTTCGCAGTAGCGCAATACGTGTTCTGCAGTTTCCTCTTCTTCCTGATAGAACCAGCATAAGATCTCTTCTGTCAGACCTATATTCTGTATCTGTAACGTGTGGAGGGTGGGTGACCCCCACGGCACTTAGGCCTCATTAGGCCCATTGTGCATCCTCCTAAGATGATAGGCCTACAGATTTAATGTAGTTGACAACGTCGCCAAGAGGTGCTTCTCTTATATCGGCCGGTGTTAGCCGATACTCGCCGAACACAAATCTTCTAATACAGACCTATATTATACATGTTTGTTAAGCTTACAATGCTCCGTTAATAGACCTATAAGTACTCTAGTATGTTTCCTATTATAGCTTAGTATATGCTCGGTAAGTTTAGGCGATGGTCCTTTTAAAAATTCTTTGGCCTGGTTAATTTTTCCACTATTTCTTAAAATTTTTTAAACATCCACTACTTTGTGCATGTTCTAATAACTGTCTTTGTGACACCACACACTTCGTTGCCCTTATGTCCTCTGTGACCTGATACCCAGGCTAAGGTTAGTCTGTTTTGACTACCCAGCTCTGTTAGGGCTTCCCAACAGTCCCACACAAGCTTTAAGTGTACCTGTATCTGCATAGAACTGAGTGCTTTTAACGTCTTCTGACTGTCTGAGTATATGACAATGGTTTATGTTTTAATACCTCTTTTTCGCAGTGATGTATTGCTACTATTTCTGCCTGGAATACTGTAACATGTTTACCTAAGCTCAGTGATATTCTTCTCTTTGGTTTGGTACTATATACACCTACTCCTAAACCTTCATGGATTTTGAAGCCATCTATGTACCAGGTGAAATCTGCGTGAATAAGAAGGCCTTTCTGTCCATGCTTCCCTGTTTGGTATACTTACTTTATATTGCTTTTGAAAGCTATACTTCGGTAGTATTTTGCCTGAAGGCATTGCCTTTATATAGCTCGCTGTAGTTATGTCCATGCAAACTGCTTGTGGGTGACAGATCTTTGTGCAGTCTGGATATGACAAACCTGGCTTCGCCTTGAATAAAAATAATGTAGAGGTGTTAGGTTTAGCATGACTTCTAGAGCTGCTATTGGAGAGGTTCTCATGGCTCCAGTTGTACTCAGGCATGCTTGCCTTTGAATATCGTTGAGCTGTCGAATGGATCCAGCTTGCCGAGTCTTTGGCCATTATACTACCGACCCGTAGGTTATCATAGGCCTATTGTATTGTATTTTTTCCACATAACTTTCGACATAAATAATTAAAGGATATTGTGCTCTTTTAGGCGACTTTTTGCAAGCAAGTGTTGATTCCATATCAACCTGTGGTCAAAGATGACTCCCTGGTATTTGGCCTCTTGAGCAAAATAAATCTTTAATCCTTTCAGTACTGGTGACTTTTGTCCTGTCAGTAATTTTCGTTTTGTGAAGTTAACTATTGTGGTTGTATGAGGGGTTACTGTTAGTACTTCCTTTCTGAACCACTCGTCAACGATGTTTAGAGCGATTTGTGTTCATCCACTAGGATTGATCATAGGAGGGGTGATAGAACTCCTTCGCTTAGAGATTATGTTAGTACCCTTTCTTCTAGACAGACTTTTATCCACTGACACAGGACTACTGGTATCCATTTCATTACTAGTGCGTTAATTATGGATCTTGTATGGACCTTATTAAAAGCTTCCTCAATATCTACGAAAATTGCTACTATCATTTCTTTATCCTCAAGGGGTTTTGACAATAGCCTGTTGAGATCATTCAGGGCCAAATCGGTTGACTTTGCTAGATCGTGTTAATAATTTTAATTATAACTTGAAGACTAAATATTGTAATTATTTTAGTGTCTTGATAACCGAAGTAAATATTTTCGAAAGCTTGACTATGATCAAAGGGTTTTACTACATTTCGGCCACCTTTTTTGACAGCATTCCCCAAGAAGTACAATTTATTTTATATATAAACATCCTGATAGCTCAAAATTTAGAAAATCCAAAATGTTTAAATTCGTTTTTCATCTAAAACCAATTCGGCTAATTTACTTTGTCTTGATGTTTAAATGAAGTATATATTCTATAGTGAAATATTGAGCTTGGGTAATAGAGAATTAAGGAAACAATAAACTTTAAGTATCTGCCAACTGGAAACTCAATAACCTTATCTAAAACACAATTTTGCCAACTATCAAACAAAAAGCATTTAATTCTATTAAGTATATCTACCTAATTGTAAGTGAAACCAATATGCCAAACTTCGACAGCTTTATAGTATATCATAAACTGAACAGAGTTTGCTCTCCACATAGCAACTTTCACTTCGCTGAGATGATTGAAATAACTTTAACGGTAATAAACCGACTTGGCATTTGACGTACCGTTTAAATCATACAACTTTACTTGATGCAATTTGTTGGGAAATGGAAACCGGTATCGATTCTGTTTATAATTTGGCAAACAAATAAAAAAATAGTTGTTTGTTTTATTTGTTGTACATATTTGTATTTATTGAGCTAACAAAATAAAATACATACTTTTTTTAGAACTGCTAACTACAGTCGGCTGTTAAGAGGTATTGACATCCAATCTCCAGCGATCCACGAGAAAACCGCAATATGGCGGTTTAATCAGAACAAAAGGCCGAATAATTTAATCAGAGAATTTTCTTCCTGCCCAGAAAAAAATTACCCGACTGTCCAACTATCTTGCACAAATTACGGTGAGTCTAATTTTTTATAATTACTATTTTCTTAACAATGCATCAAGGCAAACAAATATTTTATTAAGGTAAGTACTAACTGAACAACAAGGTTGCGGCAACACGTTGTTAACATATTTGTTGGGCATAACATGTTTTCAACAATGTTTCTCATCTAAATCTCTGTCAATTCTGTAGCGTGGGGAAGATAAATACGCAGAACTCATTCGACATAATATGTACCTGTTCCGCTTTGTTAAGAACTACTTAGGTTCCAGATCTGAGGATTCGCCCGACTGGAGCCCACCGACCTTAAACAAGTTCAATCCAACTTAATCATGGCCTTCACCAAAAAGCGTGACTTGTAAGGTGAACTACACCATACAGCCTCAATAGATACATCTAGAAATCTAACAATCATTTTACTCATTTTTATCCTAACGTCTAAACCAAAATTAGTATTAAAATTAAAACGACTGCTGTTAATACCGGTGCTATAGTTTATTTGAAAATGAATGATAGTAAAATTATATAAAAATATAGACCTTTGCCATAAAAACTGTGCTATAATACATTTTCAAATAAACTATAGTGATGTTCATTATAATAGCTGCCTATGACCAAAAACAGACAGATAATTTGAGAAAAAGGTATGGCAACCACTTTATGTCCGATTTACTGCAGCAGTTCCATGCAAGCACACCAAAATTTATGTGGGATTGTTTTGAAGCCCTAACAGAGCTGGATAGTCAAAATCTTAGCCTGAGTACCACGCCATAGATGATTTACTATACCTAGAAGGAGTCTCAAAGGCTCTTTTGGGTCAGAATTATTCTGTAGTGCCACAAAGACAGTCATTAGAACTTGTACAAAGAAAAGTGAATTACGGGCTAACAGAAATTATAAATCGGCCTTACAGAAGAGACCGATTCTGCCAAAAAGATTAGGAAACTGAAATGCACGTATTGAGCTACTGCGAGGGTCTATCAAGATTAACATTACTTATACTTGGAGAAGAAATACCAGAAGTAATATTACCTACACCGGAGAGTCTATGGAGTTTACTAGAAAATACCAAATTTGACAAGTGTTTTAACCAATTATCAAAGGATATCCTCAATAGATCTGAAAAGTGTCGAAGTAAGGGAGGATACATGATCCACAGTCCTAACCAAATGTAACCTACTTCTGCAATTTTATCAAACTATCAAAATCTGAATTCGAAGAACTTCTTTGTTTGATATCTCCAAAAATATCTAAAAAGGATACAAACTACCGTATCTACTAGATGTATAGAAGTGTATTGAAACTCTCAATAATGACTCTCCATTTGCCGTGACAATACAGTACAGACAGTGATGTTTTGTTGTTCTCATGCCGCCCGATGTTGTTACCTGATAGGATCGATGCATCTTGATAACACTAATATTTATAAACATTTTGTTGGTATGTAGTTTGCCAGCCAGGCGTACTTTTGAGCGGTATGTTAGCATCATTTAAAATCGTTAGTCAAAGTCCATATACTCTGTTCCAATGATATTTAATTGTGCCTCAAAGGCATTTGTGAGGTTTCCAGATGTCGTATTCCTATTTCAAAGAATTAAAATTGTTCTCAACTTTGTTCCTTTTTATAAAACATAAATTAAAGAGTTACTTTTGCGTAATTAATAATACATTTTTTGTTTGATACTTGATTTTTTATATAAACATATATGTATATCAATGATTCACAGGAATCAATTTAAAAAAACAATTATCTCATATTCAGAAAATAATTTAAAGCGTTTATATTCCAAGTGGAAGCCAAAAACAATAATTATCAAATATGAAATCCGTTATGATATACAAAATAAATATGAAAATGGAAATATCTATGTAAATACCTAATATCGATTATACAGAATGGCCTGACGAAAACGTATTAGAGCTTTTATCAGGAATTGCGTCAATATTGGGTAGCTGTTTTTGAATACCAAATTAAGGATGCATATTTAAGTTTAAAGCAAAATACAAAGACTTGAGAGAAAGATCGGTGGTAAACTTTTCACAATTTCTAATTAAAAATCCAAGTGATTTATATCCTTCTTTACAAATTGTGTCAATATGATAGTTAAAAGTTAAATTTGAGTGTTCAACTTTGGAATATCTGGACATAATTTCATTGTTTATTGTGTTTATTTTTCTAGTAAGTACCTTAACATTGTTTAATGTATAGGAACAAATTATTGCAAATACTTGTTGCGCAATTAGCAGCTGAAATAACTGTTCCTGAAGAAATATACAGTCACCAATATCATAAATTTAAAAAAATTGCTTTAAATCATCTACAAACAAGAGTTCTGAAAAATAAATTAAATCCTTATTATTGTTGATAAAGAATAAAAGAAGTAGGGGTCCTAAATTAGACCCTTAAGGAACCCCTGATGTAAAGGAGAAAATAGTTTGGGTGAGAAGCTATTATAAGTTAATGAAAAATAGGAAGTAAAAAAACATTTGCATTGATTTTGAGAATCGTTTTCAAATTAGTTAAGACAACAGGGTATTTTAGGTAAAAATTGTGAGAAGCAAGATAAATTTGTTACAGTAAATCTATTATCCATGAAATTATACTTACAGTCAGATATATGAGTGGATAAATTTTTTTATAGTTAAATACAAATTTCCAAAACTTAACATGTACTATGTCCTGGTGGTGGGAGCTGCCGTGTAACTAGTTATCGAAAACCAACTTTACTTTGAATTTCAAAGTTGCTTATCGATGGAGTTTTTCGATTTTTGCTGACAATTAAATAATATGCTTCTATACGTCTATAACGATTCCTCTGCCAGCATTTTCTGTCATCCGGTTTTGCTACTGCAGTCGCAGGGATTTAGGCCACGTGACTGGATATTTGTGTTTTTTAACGAAATTCAGGATATTGTTTAAACGCGTCATAACTTAAACTATTTTGACATTTTTTCTTGAAAACCCATGGTGAATAAAAGGTTAAATGGGGTAGAACTATTAAATAAAAAATGCTTGCAAGGGCAATACTCTTATTCGAGACTAATTAAAGGTGCCATTTCGGTAGGCGCGACATACGACAATAGACGCGACCGAGAACTGTCTCTTCACGTCTGAAATACATTAAATTATATGAAACACATTTCGCACGGCGCGATACTTCTTAACGACACTTCTCGACGACACTTTGGATCTGTCTCCGAGCAAAGCGTTTGCTGCTTGTCGCATTCGAGGTCACTGTCCTCAGACATCGCTTGTATTTGGAGGTGTTTATGTTGGAAATTTCTTTCGATCTAGGCAGTGTTGCCAGATGTTGAAACAGTAGATCTGAACAGTAGATTTTAATACAGGGGGAAATAATTATAATTTGCAGTGTAGTAAAAAAAAAAAAAAAAAACAAGTATATAAGAAACGAAAAATAAACATTTTTCTACCCAAATCAGAAAGTAAACAAAGAATAAAAACAAATAATAACATTTTTAATATATACTTAACGTACGGAAACAAACAATGAAAAATAATAGGTACCTTACTTCTTTTAGATCAGTCTGAATCAGATAATTCAAAATCGTTGTGTTTGGCATGCATGTTCTTTTTATGATGCCCTATTAATTCTTTGTTTCATTTTAAATAAAAACATAATGATTATCTGGATGTTTTTTTTATGGAGCCAACCTACAGTAGTGGATGCTTATTACGCTGCTTTTACTTCAGCAAATTTACTACAGAAAATATTCTTTGAGCATTTGCTAAAGAATGAGGCAAACTTAATAAATTAAGAACAAAATTTGCTAGAGACAAAAACAGTGGATCTACTTAAAAACACTAGGTCTGGCAACGCTGATCGTTCCCTCGAATGGTTATCTGCAGGTGTCGCGCCACCCGTCTCCTTGTTTCCTAAATGTACGGAGGGTTGTTGGCCACTCAAATAGAGTGGGAAAACGGAACTATCTGGAAAACGATTGAATTAGCTGTGCGAGATAGAGGACTAAAAATGTCTCAGTGGGAAATGGTTTTGGCTGATGCACTACACTCAATTAAATCCTTATTGTGCACGGCCACTAACAACACTCCACATGAAAGAATGTTTCTTCTTAGTAGAAGATCAAGCAATGGACAATCATTGCCAACTTGGTTATCTTCTCCGGATACAGTTTTGATGAAGAGACATGTGCGATCAAATAAATACCAGCCATTAGTTGAAGAAGTCCAACTACTAGAAGCGAATCCGGCTTACGCTTATGTACTCCTTCTAGATGGTAGAGAAATTACGGTATCGAATCGTCTCTTAGCTCCGAGGGGAGATGAAAAGAACTGAACCAGAAACTGCACAAAATTTTGATAATGATACTATTGAGAACCCTCTGGAATCGATCAATGCACCTGACGTTGAAGTAACCCCTGATCCGGTCACTGATGAATTGTCGACACGACATTCAAAGAGAGTCCGAAGACCTCCCCTTCGTTTGAAAGATTACTATTGTTCTTGAAGATGGGAAGAATGTGGTGATATAGATATAGTATATTTAGAATACCCTGTATTATTACTCATAATTGTCAATGTAACATTTGTCGTTTATGTTTTATAGTTTTTAAACTGTTGAATAAAGCCTTACATTGGTTTGTTCTTACAACAGTACGACAATTGTGGATATGATTGAAAGGAATCAAAAATTGATGGATGAGAGCGTTTTTTCTAAACGTTTACATCGGGTAACCCTGTAATTAATATTTCACGATGTTTCACACGTTTTAAATATTTTTAATTTTCTGAACTAGTGAAATGCTTCAAATATCTTGGAAATTTTAATTATTACTGATGTTTAAAATATTTTTAAATGTTTCCAATAACTCCAATAATTATTTTTGAAATGTTCTGTTGGCTTTATTTTTATATTATTGGATTTAACCTCCCAACAATTTTGTTATGGTATGTTAACGGCCTTTATACGTATTTACAGACGGCCCAACTCAAATGTAGACGCGCTTTACTGAATTCATTACTGTAAGTCTGGCCAGAGAGAGGAAAATATTAAAAATATATATATTACTTTTATTAAAGCCGTTTTGAAACAATTTATTTATTACATCTAGAACATAAAACTACAGAAAGCGTTTATTTATTGTAATAATCATATAAAACTACAAAAATCATTTACTACAAGATAAAATCAAAGGATATAGCGAAATTGGACGAAAATTGTTTTTTAAGTGAAGCAGGTGCTGAATTAAATGTCAGACAAGGTGTATGTAGGGTCTCTAATGAAAATGAAGACAATGCTCTTCTCTTAATTTAGCACCCACTTCACTAAAAGACCAATTTTCTTATATTCTTATATATATATTCTTATATAATTTTCCTATAGCTCTCGTCTTTTGAGCCTTAGTTAAATGTTACGAAATTTTTGAAAATTTATTTGACAATAATTTTTAAAAGCCGTCAAATTTGATCGCGACGAACGACTATGATGCAAAGGCTAAATCACACTATTAAATTTTGGCATTCACATTTCGGTTTCGTCAACTGTACGTTAGTTTGAGTAATGGCCATTCATTGGTGATCTGGCATTGGTAAGTCATTATTTTGTCACAATACCTTACTTGCTTTTCCTTTTCCATTTAATTTTTTGTACGAAAATTTTGTTCAAATACTGTTTTTATTTTGAGGTTACCGTTCTTCTTTTTGACTTACATTTGTGGTAGATAGTTAAAAAGCCTTCAATAGCCAATCCATTATTATAGTTACCTAACAATAAAATAACAAAATCGGATAAAACAATCAAATTGGAATATACAATAAAAAATGTAAATACCAAATTGTGGTACACTCTTAGCCCAAAATAGTACATATTTTTTGTGGGAAACATTTAAAAAGCCACCAATGGCCAAAGGCTCATCGAATATTAAAGTTAAAAGGCAGTTCATTACAAATTTTAATGTTTCAAGTTACTTTAAAAGGCGAACACGTTGCCACAACTTCAATGTTTGTTATTTTTTATGTGTCAACTATCAACATCTCTGTCAAATATACTTGGGAAACAGAAGTAAATGTATTATCTTTATTTTGAAGTAAATGAATTGTGAATAAATGATATTTAATATTATTTTAAAATATTTTGAACCATATCTTACTCATACGAATTAACTTCGAAACCGTATACATTATTCTTGAGATGAAAATCTGCATGTTCGATTTGCTTCCATACTCTATATATTCAAATCTATATACACAAATCCCTAGATCAAAGAAGCTTAACGCTGGAAAATCAGACAACGGACAGGAATGTGAACACAATCCCTTGGGGGAGAACAGGGCAAAGGATAAACTTTAGTCAATAAAACGGAAAACTTACCCAGTGGCTGCTTCCCAATAGAATTCCCTGAAACAATTTAAAAAATTAGAACCAAAATAGTATAATATAAATTATTTTCAATACAAAACTGCTGATTTTAATATACTACTTATCAAAAAATCCAGCAAGAAATAGTTCATATATTTTTCTACAATTTTGCACATACATATACATCAATCGATTTAAGTTTGTCCTGTTTATTTTAGTTTGTTGCTTGAATATTATTATTGCTATTGCGGTAGGCCAACCAATTGCTGTTTCAATGGTATCTAACTTACCATCCGCTTTTGATGCTTCCCCTGATACTGGAAAAGTACTGTGAACGAATCAGTTGGGATGATTTGGAGAGCAATCTGCTATGGAAGTAGATCTCCTCTGGTGTTTATTCAGGATACTATGAATGCACATCGGTATATACAGGAAGTGTTAAGTCCTGTTGTCGTCCCATATGTACAAGGCATTTCTGATGCCTTATTCCAGCAAAATATCGCTGTGTTTTAGTTGAGTGTTTCGCCCTGGACTGCACTTTTTCTAGACTTATCTCTCATAATCTTTCCCGGACGCCAGAGACCATAGAGCAAATAAAGCACGAATTTTGGTTGATATGGGATGTTATGCATCAGAAGAAATTGATAATCTCATCCACAGCATACCGTGATGAGTAGCTGAATGTGCAAATAGACGAGAAGTACCCACACAGTATTAAACCAATTGGAAATGTTATTTTAGTCATTACGACGTTATCATGAGCGATCTTTATACGACATAAAAGCAAAACTAAATTTAAAATTTGACGTGTTTTGTCTAATGTAGATGAAGAAAATGTATACTATTCACTTTTATTAGTATTATTAGTTACCTTTGAAAACCGATGTTAGTGTGATTTTTTTGATAGTAATAAAAAAGTATTTGAGTCAGATTGAGTAACATTTTTCTTTGGATGATTTAAAGTTTCAAGCTCAAATACGCACACTGTATATACTTAGAACAATACTAGGACAATATGAAATTAAAGCGTTAAAAGTTGAGAATAATTAGAATATACGAAGTCGTCAGAGTTTAAATTCGAAGATGTAATGGACAAAATGTATGAACGACAGAAACTCAGAAAGAAAATGATCTTCAATGTCTCTAAACACAAATTTAAGCGGAGGAAACTGAAAGCAATACAAATGGTATTATTGGCATTCTAAATACTGCTGATCCAGAATTAGCAGGTGCTAACATTCAATTAGGATATTTCTGGAATAGATTGTTGTAATAAACCGAGATGTCCAATTTACCTTTATTAAGGTTTTACAGCATTAAAATAAATCTGCATAAAACTACATAAAAATATCTATAATAATATCACAACTTGACCATTTCTATCGAATACAGTAGGTCCCAAATGTAATAGATATTAAGGTAATTCTTGAAAATGATCATATATTTTGTGGAATTCCACACCAAAACATCAATATAAAATAAAATATATTAATGATATAGGTACTAAGGGTAATTTGTTGTTTCATTAAACTAAACAATCCCAATAAGATCTACTTACTTCCAAAAGGTCAGAGGACTGAATAGCAAGACACATATTTTTTTCTTCGATTGTGAGTATTTGTGATGATAATGTTATTTCTCTTTTAATACCTAAAAGTAAATTTGGTAGAGGCCGTTATTGAAAAGAAAATTTTAGTTTCTCGCTTGACTTTTTTTCGAAAAATGTGGATATTATGATTGCTACGATCAAACTTATTTGACTAGTCAACAAGGACACAGATAATGGTATTAATTTAACACTAAGGCAATAAAACAGTTAAGTACAATCGCGACACTAAAACTCAATTTTCTCAAAATTACATTTTTTAAGTTCTAATACAGCGATACTTCAATTACTCCCTACCCTGTATATATATAAACGATAAACACTGCATATTGAGGCATTTAGAGGATCTTCTTTAGTGCTGTCAATCGATAAATAAGCGACTAGTTTAGGTAACTTATTTTGCCCCACAATCACCTACGCCCTTCGTTTGATTTATCGCTTTAAAATATGGAAATTATTAAATATTAAGCGTATTCGATCAATAAATACCTCTCTGAATTAGAGGAAGATTTTGAGTTTATTTTAGCTACAGAATTGCACAATAACCCTTAATAAATTAATACTATTATTATTATTATTATTATTATTATTATTATTATTATTATTATTAATTATTTAAGACTATACTGATTGAATAAATCAATTAACTAATTAACTAATTATTTTTCAGTATGCGGGAAAGTCCGCAAAACTTACGATGCCCATAATAATTCGGAAAACAACAGCAACAATAAACATATTAACAACAACAACAACTTAAGGAAGCGTGGAGATCGCCATAAAAGAATTGTAGGCGGAGTTCGTTCTAAACCTGGAGACTGGCCATTCCTTGCAGCACTTCTTGGTGGACCCGAGGAGATTTTTTACTGCGCTGGAGTCCTTATCGCTGATCAGTGGGTTCTCACGGCATCTCACTGCGTTGGAAAGTAAGTACATCCCTCTAATAAACTCATTCATGGTATTAAAGCTCTAATCTACCACTTTAAATAGATTATTGACTTTCTATTTCGAACTTGAACCTTATATATCGCTTCCACCAGTCTGGTAGAAGAGAGACTAAAGAACCAATACAAGAGGCTCGAGAAAGTAAGGTAAAGAAGAAGAAAATAAGACCTCACCATAGAATAGGCCATAAAAGAGAAAAAGCAATTAAATTATTGTTTAAATGTCGACAAATTAATATCGAGGCGTTTTTGTTTTAGTCATTCAGACGTTTCTGGTTGGACCATACAATTGGGCATAACAAGAAGACACGCTCACTCATTTTATGGACAAAAAGTTAAAGTAAAACGTGTGGTTCCTCATCCTATGTACAATATAGGAGTAGCCCATGACAATGATGTAGCTCTATTCCAGGTAATTTTATCAAAAATCAAGGTATATAAATTTAATAGTATTATTAACAGTTGTCCTATGATTGTAGCTTTCAAATCGTGTTACTTTCCACGAACATCTCTCTCCAGTTTGTCTTCCACCAGCCGAAAAGGAACTTAGGCCTGGAACTAAATGTACTGTCATCGGTTGGGGAAAAAGAGAAGATACTGGAAGTAAGATTACTAGTTTTTAAGATGCAAAAATAATTTTGTTCCATTTATTTCATGCTTTCAGGCTAGGTATCAACCTATCAATTGCGCGGATTACATATTAGATTTCCTTTTGATCTGTCATATCCTGAGCATCCTTTGTATCTCCTTGCTCTTTTCTACCTTTTCTTGTCCAGTCTGCTGCTCATCTAACCTTGTTATATTATGTATGGGGTGTTAATACACTGCGACTTCAAATATCTATTGTTCCTTATCTGTCGCTAAGATAGCAAGATAATAGTGTATAACGACCTTCCAATCCTAGGATTTGGAGTGGGTCCAAGCTGACAGATCGCCTTTTTCTATTTTCGCCTAGAAGGTGCTTAGATATTTTTCCAAACTTTTATAGTAGGTACTTGGTTCTAGGCAAAACCATCCGTATGCCATTGAATTGCATGCCTTTCGGTTGCAAACACGATTTATTCTTGGCTTCATTTTTCTTGTAGCCCAGTTCTGTCGTTTTGAAGTTTTTCGCTAAACTGTACTTCTTTCTTATTCCGTCCTGGGGCATATTCCAAGTATCTTCGGTAATGGAGCTAATAGACTTTCGTCCGATTACTCCGTTCTTGATCATTCTATATATTGTTCTTTTTGCCACGTTTTTTACCATTTCATGTAGAAATGTGAGATTTAACATCACCTAAGTGCGACTGTAGGACGAGCTAGTCTTTCTACCTATGAGATATTAGCTTTAGTAGTTACAGACCCGTAAATGATGATGGGTCTTAATGCTGCTTTATACATATTCATCGCAGAATATTTGGGTTGTATCTCCACCTGCCAACCTCGAAGATAGCATCAAACTTCTGCTGTCAACACACTCCCCTGACTCAGTCATCACAGACGTGGCCGACTGGGCAGAGGAAGAACACAACCCATCTGTCTATGATTGGCAAACTGCCAAACACATTGTAGACGATGAAAATATTTGTGGTATGGAAGAACTTACACCGCACCTGGTGGGTATATTCAAATGCTCGTTGGCTCTGAGGTATATCCCCAAAAAAATTGAGAGAGATTAAAGTGGTATTCATATCCAAATCTGGAAGGATGGATTGCACTGTCCCAAAAACATATCGACCAATTAGTCTGACATCGTTTTCCATGAAGACATTGGAAAGGCTATGCAAAAGGTACATAAGAGATGCGGTAATTACAACAACACCACTACACCCAAACCAACATGCCTATACCCCAGGCAGATCTACTGATTCAGCCCTTCATCTAGTTGCTGGCCAGATAGAGAAATCCCTGGGCCATAAGGAGTCCGCCTTGGGTGTTTTGATAGACATAGAAAGTGCTTTTGATAAAACCACCTTACCAAAGATAATACACTCGCTAACCAACAGGAATGTTCCACAGATGGTTAGTGGGTGGATACATAACATGCTCTCAAAGCAAGCAGTAAACATAAGTGTAGAAGAAGTGAACATAAGAGGCTTGGTTGCAATGGGGATGTACAAAGGAAGGTGTGTTATCACCTCTAGTGTGGAACATGGTCCTCGACACCCTCATCAGCCGCCTCAATAATGACAGTCACTACACAATAGCATATGCAGATGACCTGGTCATTCTGCAAACAGGGAATTTTGAGAACATACTCTGCGAAAGAATGCAAGTGGCTCTAAAAATTATAGAACAGTGGTGCAAGGACCATTCACTATCAATCCTAAGACGACAGAAATGGTCCTTTTCACAAGGAAAAGGATGAAAACGGAATTAGAGCCTCCAGAATTCTAAACACAAAACTAAACTTTGCAACAGAGGTGAATTACCTAGGTCTTACCTTTGACAGCAAGTTAACATGGAACTCGCATTTAGAAAACAGAGTCATGAACAATGCCGCCGAACCGTGGTGCGCACCTGGAGTTTCTCCCCCAAAGTCGTCGCATGGACTTACACGGCTATCATAAGACCTATGCTAACATACGATGCAGTGGTCTGGGTACCGAAATCCCAAAAATTAACAGCTATCAGTAAACTAGAACCAATTCAAAGAACAGCATGTCTCAACATAACAGGAGGCATGAAAACAACACCGATCAGAGCCATGGAAGTCATTCTTAGTCTCACTCCCCTTGATGTTTACATCAAGGAGGTTGCTCTGACGATAATGACACTCCTCCGTACCGTTGGAATAGAACCTGATGTAGATTCTGGTGAGGCGAGACGTTTGGCAGGAGGCGCTCGATGCACTCCCACTGCTTCAAGAGAACATGGACTCCATCTCACCGAGATATATCTTCCATAAGCCATTTACAATTATTATAACAGAACAAATAGAAGAACCGGAAGTGACAGGTACGATTCATATCTACACCGATGGTTCTAAAACATAACAAGGCTCAGGATGTGAAATATATTCCAGATTTTTAAACCTAAATATAAAATGGACTGTGAGCAATAGTGTCAGTGTAGTTTAAACAGAGCTAACGGAAAATCTCATAGCAGCAAAAGAAATCACCAGAAACAATATCACTGGAAGGAATATGCTCATCTATAAAGATAGCAGACAAGCACTACTTACCCTGAACAGACCGCGAATTTACTCAGGGTTAGTATTAAATGTCACAAAGCTTTGGCCGAAGTATCCATCAACAATGTGGTCACCTTAAGATGGATCAAAGGTCACGCCACATCGAAAAGTAACCGTCTTGCTAATTCACTAGCCAAGAAAGCAGCCAACCAAATACTTTTTGAACCTGGTCCTTCTATTGGCCTGATAAAATCGGTAGTGACAGACCTAATTAAAGAACATTCCCTTGTGAAATTCAAGGAAAGATGGGATGAAACAAGAAACTGCAGAGTTGCCAGGGAGCTCTTAAGTTATCCTGACAACACTACAGCAAACAAATACTTGACTATGACTAGAAAGAATCTACGCCTAGTCACAGGCATTCTGACTGGTCATTGCCAAGTACGGAAGCATCTCCATATCATGGGGCTGTCAGAATCCGCACTCTGCAGAGGGTGCGAACAAAAATATGAGACTATCGAGCATATCCTTTACGATTGCTCGACGCTCTCAATTATTAGAAGATTTGTGTTCGGCGAGTATCGGCCAACACCAGCCGATATAAGAGAAGAACCTCTTGACGACGTTGTCAACTACATTAAATCTGTAGGCTGGCTCACGAGCTAGGAGGTGCCCATCATCTTAGGAGGATACACAATGGGTCTAGTGAGGCCTAAGTGTCATGGAGGGTAACCCACCCTCCACAAGTTACAAATACAGATAGTGTTGTTTTGGTGTGGTTCATAGTAAGTCCCACCTCGCGGCACCATCTTCTGTCTGTTTTAGACAAAGGATATTTTTAAACTTGCCTTTCAGCATAACCTTGACGGGGTATGCCGAGATTAGACAATCTTAACAGAAGTTCGTTTAGGGTCAGGCTCCATTTTAGTGGAAATAGAACTCCTCCTTGTGAACATTTTCTGGTCGTGCAGATGAAGATGGTGTCTTACCATCTCTACGTCTCTGCAGTTCTCATAGTAGATAGCAGCTGAGCTATACATCTGGAAATATTGCTACTCCTATGTATACCAGTGCTCTTTTGATAGATTCGTCTTTCGTGTTGTCAAACGCTTTTTCTATGTCTAAGAAGTTACACACGACCGTTTTTGTTTGTTTGTCAGTGCATTCTGGATTTCGTCAGTCAGCTAAGGCCGTCGATATATTTGTTCGATACGCATACTGACTGTGATCTAGCCTTAGCAGATGACTTTACCAATCTCGTCCCAATTCTTTTGATAATTGTTCTTGGGTCGTTTCCAATTACATTTTCTGTTCTATTCTGTATATTGTTATTGTCTAGTTATATCATCGTTATTTACTTCAAAAACTGTATTTTTTGTATCTTGCCTATCTTTTTTTATCACCAGGTTAATAAGTTTACTTTTCTCTACCATTTTGGAGTTTTGAGCATGTTTATCAATCTAATATAACATATTTTTAGTGTCTGAATATGAACCAGAAATTAACGAAGTTGTCGTCCCAGTTCTAAACAGAGATCTTTGCAATTCTTGGCTAGAAAATAGAGATTTAAATGTAACTGAAGGTATGATTTGTGCCGGGTATAAAGAAGGCGGAAAAGATGCTTGTCAGGTAAGATTATAGATAAGTTAATTGTACACTGAGAAAAATTTCCAAATCTTTAACTAGACTAGTTAAAATGTAAATAGGAGATTCATGTAATTATTCCAGATAAATATAAATTTTAAAAACTACACAGCTGCTACGGTTAAACTTTTTTACTGGAATGTGTGCTACTATATCTGAAAACTGCAAATATTCAGTTATTCTAATATCAAGTATATGTAATTTAGCAAAAAAAATTTTAACTGTGCTAAAATTTCAGATAAACTGTTTGGCAGAAGCTATTTCCTCAGTGTAATCATTCTGTAAATTATATTTCTCTTATCGGTGCATTAACAGAACTTATTATTTATTTATTTTTAGGGTGATTCTGGAGGACCTCTCTTATGCCACGTTAACGGGGATTCTGAGACGTGGTTTGTAGGCGGTATAGTAAGTTGGGGGATAAAATGTGCCCATCCTCATTTACCAGGAGTCTATGCGTACGTACCAAAGTACATAAAGTGGATAGAACAGCAGATAGCAAAATATTCGGGCGAATAATGGACGAACTGTTGAAATTTCATTAATGGAAACGACAATAAATGAAACAAGATTGAATGGTACAAATTATACAAGGTAATCTATATGATTTTCTAAGGCAATTTACACATGAAGAGAAAATTATACAAATGTCGTAACATTTGGTAACCTTGTGGTATAGCTGAAATTTTCTTCCTGTCAAATAAGTAAACAAAAGCCAGAGCTACGCACAATATCTAGATTGATCCTTTATAGTGATATCTCATGACAATTCACCTAGTGTTCACATGTGATTTTAATTATATACAGCTGTAAAAATTTACACAAATTGTGACATATATTTTAAAAGTATTTGATTCCTTTTACCGCTGCATACCCCTTCCAAATTACCAAAAGATTTAAAGGACGATAGTCTTTAAAATGAATCCAATTAAAGTCCTTTACGCTACTAATCTACAATAACTTCTGGGCTGTTTACATATATTTATTGATATAAATGAGTAGTCCACTGGTATTTAATATTTATAAAAAAAAATCTGTTGTTCTATTTAGGAAATATTTTCATCTTCTGTTTTCGAAACATCACTTGGTCTGTTTGTTTACAAAGTTATTGGGTGTTCATTCTCTTGTATGTGTGTAAATTTACACTAATTGTACATATCGCTGTTAGGGAATCAAAATAAACCTGAAAATTGGAAAGTTGTACCTACACGATTATAATTTATACAACTTATAAAATTACATGTGTAAACCCCTTTTTCTAGCTCCAAGTATATATGGCACAGTCGTTATAATAGATGTAGTTGTATATTTAGAACTTCGATCAATGTACGCCTTAGATGTTTCTCAATATGTTCAGTTGAATCAAGAAATTTGCTATCCCAATACCTTAGTACTTAATAATAATATTTACAACTATTAAATATTCAATATGATATTTATTTACCAACTGACATTGAGAATATCATTAGTATAAAGTATAAACAACATGGTTTCAATGTTAAGTCTAACTTAAAAATGTCAGACCTAAGTTAATTGGAATTTCGAATTCAGAAGGTTGAAATATATTTTGCTGCAAATTAACTAATTATCGTGGATTTAAGGCTGTGAAAAACAACAGAGTAAACATTTTTAAAACAAAATTATAATCAACTAGAGATCTATCTTAGATATTGTACTACCACAACTGGCGAAGAGTAGTTGGAAAAGAATGCTGTTAAGAGTATCGCAGGATGAATAAGTTAGAAAAATGACTAAGTGATAGCATAACAAACGTTATGTTTGAAAGTAGTTTTTATTAATTTAGTCACTTTTTTATGCGATGTAAGATTTAAAGAAAATTCCTAACATCAATATGCAAGAAGCAACTTATATTTTATCCTTAATAAATTTGAATCATTAATTTCAAAACGACTGAACCGTGACCATCTTACCTTGATTATAGAAGCTGTAACCATCAAATCGTGACGTCACAAGAGTAGATTGATTGCGTAAGTACGCAAAAGAAGACTACCACAACTGATTTTCAAATGTAAATTTAAAATATTTGGATTATTTGCTAAGGACATTCACTAAAGTAGTTTATTAAAAATTAATCAATTTAAATCATTAAATGGCAGTCGCTTTTGTTTTGTAAACCTAAATGGTTTAGACTTGATAATACTGGCGGTCATAATCGCCTTATTCAGAAACTCAGCAGTGCCCGAAATTTCATAAGACTATCAAAAAAATGTACAGCTAAAAAAACATTTTACCTTTTTAAGTTGTATGGATAAAGAACTTTTTTAAAAGGGTATGCCGAGGTCTAAAGGCAAAACACTACTTAAATCATTTCACAATGTAAAAAACGTACACAAAGGAGTTTTAAAACAAATTTTATTAGAAAGAACAGCATATATTAAAGGTTTATGTTTACTAGATAAAAGCCGATTTGTTTTTATTGTAAATTTACACAAAAAAGAGCTCAAAACTACTAAAATCATTTCACAAGACTTAAAGCTTACAACGAAGTTTTTAATCTGATTTTATAAAAGAGAAAATCGCAAATTTATAATATAAACACAACGTAATGATCTACTTGTATGATGCCACACTGCCGTATCTGTCAAATAGTTCAGGCCTCTATATCACGATGGTCACGATACATTAACAGCCGTATGCATAGTCGATCGCCGGCGACTCGCCAGAGATTCATTTCGGCGTATCGCCAGCGATTCGCTGGCGATCCGCCGGCGAAAGCCCAAGAAGGTGGCGACTCGCCGGAGATTGTCACCGGAATGTCATTTCACGCAAGTTTTTATTTTCTTTTATAGGGATTATAAACGGTATCTCTCGCATGTTATTCATGATTCATTTCTTAAAACTCAAAAAATAATGAACGAATATCAAATTTTTTCCTATAAAAGAACATGAAAACTTGCGTGAAATGACATTCCGGTGACAATCTCCGGCGAGTCGCCAGCTTTTTGGGCTTTCGCCGGCGGATCGCCAGCGAATCGCTGGCGATACGCCGAAATGAATCTCTGGCGAGTCGCTGGCGATCGACTATGCATACGGCTGTAAAAGAATTGCACTTACCTACTCAATTAAGCATTCCAAACAAAAAAACTGTTAGTGGGAAGGGTTGGTATATCTAAGGGGTTGCGACATACGATGTATTCTATCTACAATATGTGAAATCAGGTATAATGGATTAAATTTAAATATTTTATGTCAAACACAATGAAAATATTATTAAAAAAACGCTTATACATTTTTCATAAAATGGCAGGTTTGGCTACTAGTATTTCGAATAAAAATAGCGTCGCACCATAAGAGCCCTTCCTAATGGCAGCTATTGTTTGACAGGTAGCTGGAATGCCTAATACGTATTAAGAGCAAACCAGGCCTTTCGCGGTAAACAAATTTCACCTCTTATAGAGATTTAGACCGATGTTATACATATGTCCTATTAATAGATCAACTAGTACTCTAATATTTTTCCTATTATGGCTTAGTAGATGCTCGGTGAGTTTAGGTGATGGTCCTTTTAAGAACTCTGGCCTGTTTCTGTCCTGGTGATTTTTTTTACCATTCCTGAGATTTTTTAAACATTCACTGCTTTGTGCATGTTTGGATAGCTGTCTTCTGGACAAATAAGAGCCTTTGTGGCTCCTTCTCGGGCTAGAAAATCAGCCTCTTCGTTGCCCTTATGTCCTCCATGGCCTGGTACCCAGGCTAAGAGTAGTCTGTTATGACTACCCAGCTCTTTTAGAGCTTCCAAACAGTTCACACATGCTTTAAGTGTACCTGCTTCGAACTGAGTGCTTTTAATGTCGCTTGACTGTCTGAATATATGGCAATAGTTTTGCTATTTACCTTATTTCTTAATACCTCTTTTGTGCAATGACGTATTGTTGCTATATCTGCCTGGAATAATGTCGCATGTTTACCTAAGCTCAGTGAGATTCTTGTCTTTGACTTGGTACTATATTTACCTACTTCTGAACCTTCATGGGTTTTGAAACCCTCTGTATACCAGGTAAAATCTGCATGAATAGTAGGTCCTTCCGTCCACGCTTCCATGTCTGGTATACTTTATATTGCTTTTGAAAGCTTTATTTTGGAAGCATTTTCTCTGAAGGCATTCCCATTATTTGGTAGTTCTCCAACTCTTTATATTCCTCGCTGTAGTCACGTCCATGTAAACTGCTTATGGTGATGGACCTTTGTGCAGTCTGTAGATGACAGACCTGGCTTCGCCTTAAATTAATATATGTAGTGGTGTTAGGCATAAGGGGCATAAGAGAAAGGCGCTTAGAAGGAGTTTTGATAAAAACTGCAGACCCCATAAACAATCACGAAAAGATTGAGAAATTGGGAGGGAAAAAAGTAGGAGGCGAGGGGACTCACTATAAACAAGCACCCCGAAGGAACCAGTATTTGCAACGTCACCGTCGTTGTTCCTGGGTAATGCTAATAGCAGAACTTATCAGCAGACTCTAAGTCATAGTCGCAAATATTGTATGATAGCTACACCAATTCACTTGGTGGAATGTGACGTCTTATCAGAGGGATTGAATTCCAATGGCCTGCCTCAGCAGAACAAAGGTGGCAAACTCTGAAGTTGCGGGTTGGGATCCTCGGGCCATTTTCTGCAACCTTAGTTTGCCCCGAACAGTAAACTTAGCTTCACCCAATTTTTGGACAATGTCCTAGGAGCACTGCTGGTATTAACTGACGATAACTCACTTGTCAAAATTCTACGTAAGGGAAGCAAAATTCACGAGCTCGAATATCTCGAACCACTTGAGCATAACATTTGGGTCAGTGCTGGATCCACTGGCATTATCTCAAAGCAAATGGATCGCCGAAATTGAACACCTAGGCAGGGAGATCGAAATTCGCGAGATACAATGATCATGATAACATTTTATCCACATGGCTGGCCCTGCGCTGGTCCTGATCGAGATTTGGGGACCGTTTCCAATGTATGGAAAGTATTCAAGACCTAAACAGTTACCCCTCAACTTAACAGATCGCTTGAGAAATTGTCCCGGAGCAAGTTCAAAAAATCACCATTTTGATCTCTAAATTACCTTGAAATCTGGTTTTTCTGACGTAATGGGGGCAAAACTGCCCCGGGATTGGGTTCAGGACGCCAAAATATCTGGTCAAATAGTCCGGACTTTTTTTTTGTAAACCCGTGTTATTGAATCAACTCTATATTCATTGAAGAATATTTGCTTTTAAAGGCTATTTACGTAAAAACGTGAACAATTTGTTGTAAAAAAAACCAACATTAAAAAAACATAATCAGATTTCATCAGAATCAAAACCTTTAAAGTTCGCTATCAATGACAATCGTAAAGCAAATTATTAGAACATTTATAAAGGTAAAGTATCGCTGAGTACTGAGCAACTGTCAATAATTTATGGCTGTAATCTTTTAAGTAATTCAAAACTAGTAAACTTAGGAAGACTCTACTATACTACGGTTAGCTTAACTATTATTCCCAATTTGGAGGAAAATATAAGAAGAATAAGAAGTAAATTAATAAACAGGTTTTACGGATTTGTAGAAACAAATTTATTAATCTATTGCTACTTTACTAATAACTTAAGTATCGTACGATAAAAATTAACAGTTTTTGACAATATTTATTATTTCTGCAGCATAGGTGTCATCGCATTCTGTTATACTCTTTACACATCTAACGAAACCCTACTTATATTGTGATATTTTAAAAAGTTAAAAATGATTCTTCAAAAAAAATTACTTTCAATTCTATAAGTATTTCTTTTGAAATGATATAACATTCGAAAAGGAGAGATATTGTACGTACGTATGAAACGAATCGTTCATACGAGAAAAAATAGGTACATATTTATATAAATATATTTTGTCAAAGAAAAATTAGTTATATGTTAGTAAGAGTATTTGTAATAAACAAATTAAATGGTATTTTCTAAGTGTTTCTGGGCTTAAATGTATCCAACGCTTGTAGGAAGACTGAACCACTATGCTTATAATTTTTAATGCTTAGAATATACGGTTTAAATCTTTGTGGTAATTGTAATTAAATGGTATGCTGCGGTGGAAAAATAGTATACATTTTTCACTGAATGCTGAAGGTTCCGAAATTTATTAATATAGAATAATGTGGTTTTATAAGAAATATACAGTATAAAAAATAGACCTCACGTAGCACAATGTGCTGTTATTGTATATTAAAAAAAAAATTCTTCGTGCCATATTCCAAAATTGTCTTTTATGTAAACCATGTCCCTATTTTTATATTTATAGTAAAATTATATTTCAAAACAACAAAAATCAGAGGTGGTAATCACAGTTTCTAAACTAATAGACCAAAACCCAACAAAATAGGCGTATTGAAGACATATTGTGTCGACTATGTCACAAGGAACCTGAAACGGTCAAACATGCTATGTAACTTTGAATACAGATACTTTTTGTACAACCACAGATCAAAGTTTTGTATAAGAGAAGCCAAGTAAAGAGGGAACTCATATTGAGTAAAACACATTCATGTAAGGAATAACAACAGCACTGTTAATAAACTGCTCTTCTGCTCAGTTATGACCCAACACCATTTGAATTACTAGTTTTGCAGACTTTTGACATTAACATTAACTCGAATTTGACATGATGAAGATCTTGATAAAGAAGATATCTGGGAGCGTCCTTTTTTTTTATCTGTCAAATATACAACGTGATAGTTGCAGGTCAATTTTTAATATAATACAAAAAATGGTATATTCATTTTTTTGTATTATTCAGTAGTTATATCATAGGGGTCATCCATAAATTACGTCACACGTTAAGAGGAGGGAGGGGGTCGACGAAGTGTGTCACTGTGTGACAAGGGGTGGAAGGGGTCTTACATTTCAGCTTTAAAACTTCGAGATACTGTTGGTCGGCGTAGAGTAGAAGAAAACCAATCCGGTATACTTGAAGTCATAAAGGATATTGCAGTTTTTGGTGGTGCAGCTGATGAACGACGTCGAACTGAAACTATAAGGTGCTTCAAAACATTGGACGATTAACAAGCCGAACTTTGTAAACAGGGATATAGTATCAGTCGATCAAGGTTATACTTCAGACTTTTTCCCAGATCAGTCAATACAGAGGAAGGAACGAGACACGTCGTAACTGTTCCAGTTAAACTATGCAAACCAGATTCTACGCTACATTTGAAACATAAAGATGGCACATTCTGTATCGCTACGATAAGAAACCTTGAATCTTTAGCTTCAATTTTGGGCCCTGATCAAGTTTTCTTTTTTATCAATGGATGATAAAGCACGCATGCCTTTAGGTATTACAGCAGCAAATGCGCAAGCACTAATATTAATGTACCGTGTGTATATCATGTAAAATTACCGAATCATGATTTCGTGGTCGCACAAAAACAAACTTATTCCTTCTGTTTATGCAGGTAGTGTAATAAAGAAATATGGTGAAGGGAAACCTAAAGCTGTGACATACTTTGGGCCTACATACGTAGCAATTCGTAGTGAAAAGCATTCTTCCTCTAATTCAGAGACTCATGCCACAGGCATGCATAGACTTTCTGAAACACCTGCTTTCAAAAACTTTTTGAGAACTCGAGAAGGTTTTGTAAAACCCGTATTTATTTTTTCCTGCGATGGTGGTCCCGGCGAAAATCCGCGTTACGAGCGAGTTATAGATTCAGCTATACAACATTTAAAATTTTTTGACTTGGATGCTATTTGCAATGCCACAAAAGCTTAATGAAGAAATGCTTTCGACAGAGTGGAACGACGAATGGCGCCTCTTAGTCGCGAACTTACTGGTGTTCTATTAAAACATGACAATTTTGGTTTACACGTCGATTCCAGTGATCGAACTACTAACTTGGAGTTAGAAAAACGAAATTTTCAGAGTGCAGGTATTGTGCTGGTTAATATTTGGAGCCAATTGGTCGTTGATGGTTTTCCTGTGGTTGCCGAATACATTGTGCCAACAGATACTAGATTGGATATTGAACAGGCTAAGGTATTGAAAAATGATACGACTTGGTACGCAAATCATGTGCGTGAATCACAATATTTATTATAAATAGTAAAATGCGAGATATCCCTTGTGGTGTGCGACGATATAGCCTTTGGCGACTATTACGAGAGGGATTTTTACCATCATCTGTTTTAGTTAAACAGACCTAAAAACGGGAAAAAAATTACTACGAAGGAAAATTTGCTCCACTGTTACTTCAGCTATCTTTGGCTCTCCCAGCATCATTACATTTGAAGCAAGTTCCGTATAATAGGTAATGTCCCAGTGTCGAAGCATACTTGTTTAAGCGATCGTGTGGCATCTGTGGTCTATATTCTGTGTCATACAAAGCCACTAACCAACACAAGCCATTTGATTGGATGAAAAAGTTGTTGACACAACGAATGTTCCTGGCAATAACAACCCAAACGAGACCGAAGTGACTGCTATGCAAGTTATACAAAATTTAAAGGAGTTGGTTCACAGTCCATGGACTCAAGATGAATAAGTTTGAATATTTCAATGATAGCGAACTCAAGTAAGACCACTTCGTTACTACATATTCATAAAATTAAATTTATTTTGAAGCCAACATCAAAACCATGCCATTTCTAAATAGAAGTGAGAAAAAGAATGATCTTGGCAGAGTATTTGAATTTATTTTTGTTACGACTATGGCGTCAATCATAACCTACAAAAATCAACTTACCTGTGGAATGAAGGATCAGACTGTAAATAGTCCGTTTTTTACAGATGTCTTATTTATTTAATCACTTACAAACAATAAAAAAACTCAAAAAACCATTTTTCACAAATCAAAATGGCTGCGACAAATAATTCTTAAAGCTAAGTTATAAGAATAAGATGGGTTCATTGCGATGTTGTCACACTTAAAATTTCTACCAATAATTTGAAGAACTAGCAGTATTACGAGATAATGTATATTGTTAAGAATCTCGTAAATTTTGCATCAATGTTCAATACGAATATTGCATTTTGGCCAAGGGTGAAGTAATAATGTCTTCCGAAAATTTGTAAACAATCCTATTGATCTTATTATATATCTATTAATGAGTCTGAATCAGGTAAGTTAGTCCCATTTGAGTTTGGTTTATAAATATTGAACTTAAACAAATTATTGCATGTGGTTAAATAAAATAAAAACAAAATTACTTCGGACAGATTGTGCTACGTGAAGTCAACGAAATAAAATTATTGTATACATATCCAATTATATCTGTATCAATTGTAAGCATATCTTTGCTTAAGTAAGTATTTTAACACAAAAAGTACGAATTTCGAAGCCTTTAGTAACGCTTAAATATATTTTATACCCTTAGAAAGAGAGTATAATAGTTTTCTATAGATTTATAAACGATGTTATATAGTGTCTATCATGCCAATGCCATAGATTTTTAAACTAGCAAGTTAAAACCATGGTTTCAATTTTGACCAATTTTAACCCTTTAATGGGTGAGACTCTGAGTGTCAAAATTTTAAAATCATACGTATTTTTTTTAATTGATGATGCATATTTTTACCACCAACGTTGTTTGTGGTACGCATATGTACCACTCAGGAAAAAGGTTAAAATATTTACAAATAATTATGTATGTATATGTATTACAAAATGACTTATTTTTTTTGTTTACTGCTTCTACTTTATTAAAAAGACAGCACTAAGTGAAAACATGGTAAATATTTGTCCCTCAGAGCACAATTTTGATATAAATTGGTAGATTTTTCAGTCAAATATAAGGTACAGATGATCCACATAATAACGTATGATACATATATGTACCAGCAGCCCTTAAAGACTTTCTTTGGGGTAGGGGACCTATTACTCGACTGTACTTAATTTTTGATTTAATTTAGAGATTTGATATTATTTTAAAAATCTGATGATTTGGAAAGTTGGAGATCTGTGGTATATTCCGAAAATTTTTCAAATCTTCCTTATATGTATATCAGTGTATAAAATCCAATATAATTTTAATAAGCATATAATATATAATCACATTTTCCAACTTTTTTTGAGAGATCTAAGGATAAAGGAAGCTCTATTTTTTTATACCGCCAATTAGAGGTGTTCCTTACTATATTTCGAGGCAAACATGCTCTATTACCTTAACAGAGAACTAGTCTAGTTTTGGTTTTAACTTGCTGACAGTAACAAACACGATCGACTCTAGCTAATGAATGCTATACATTTTTTAGTGCACAATCAAAATGTCTACACATTGAATTATAATGTTTTCTAAGAAATAGGAGTAAGTATTATTTAACTGTTTCCTTGCAGAACTAATTTAACTTTTCTAAAAAAATATATTTTTAGGTGGCAGGTACAGCAGAGTTAAACAATAGTTTACAAAAAAAAAAAAACCTTATTTACATGATACAGAATAATCTTTAACTAGATACCTACAATACATCAAATATTTACAAAATAGCTCATTAATTGTTCTTTAGAATAAGAATTTTTAGACAATTCGCAATAACATCAAATGGAGTTAAGATGAGCCATGATGCCGGCTTACCTTTATTTAAATTCATTCGTATATCCAGTTCCACCAAATAACCTCCCTTGGGAATTTACTGTACCCATTTACACAAATTCACTTAATATTTGATATATTTATGAGCTAGTGTCGATCATCATAAGGTATTTCATTAAGATAAGAATTAATTTACGTGTAGACAAATATCTTGGTCAAAATTAATTTTGTACTTTGTACTTTTATATCTTTTTACATCGGTGTCATCGGCAACAACTACTGTGGTCGTTATCCACGTACTTTGTGCAGGCAATATAAAATAACCAAATTTAGATCTGATCAGAAGAAGCTTTCCTAGTTCCTATAGAATCGTTATCATAGCTTGATCAAGATTTTGCAACTTGTCTATTGTCTATGCATAAACTAATTCCTTCATGATGACATATGTATAAAAATCATGGCTACGCAATATTAAAATTAAATCGTGTGGGCAATCACTGTTCAAGTATTTTACGTGTTTCTAAAATGAATTTATTTATAAATAGAAGTAACTCGCCCTTTTCTATAATATGCTTTCACCAATAAGTACTTAAACATTATAATTATGGTGTACTGTTGTTTGCGTTTTGATAAACGGTTTTTCTGCAAAAAAATGTAAAATATCAAAAATATACCAGGTTTTTTACATCTTTAATCAAATTACAAAGAAATATATTTGACAATTTTCTTATACTCAGTGTGGGTTTCATAGCATATCTAACAAATTTACTGTAGGGCCCTCAGTCAAAAAATTATTTTACTTTAATAATGAATAAATACATATCGATAAATTATTTTTGTAGATGGAAATAGTTTGGTCAAAACTTTGGTGTTTTACAATTTTACAAAAAAAAAAACGTGATGGTGAACAATCTGGATAAATCTATTGGAAAAACTTGATTTTAAATAGTCGTTTTAGATAATGATACCAAGTAGAAGACTGAACTAAATATAGACAATAATTATATAAGTCAATAACAAATTTAGCAATTAGTGTAAATTAATTGTTTAAGTAACTCGATATATAGACGTAGTTAGTAAGATGAACTAGGCAGAAATTCCAGGAAGAAGAAATCGAATAATTTTATAAAAGTGTCCAAACTCGTTTATCTCGATGAAAGGCAACAAATCAATCACGTGTATCTTTCAAAGTAAAATAATTATAACACGTAAATTCCTCCAGAGCATCTTTATTTTGAAGAAAACTTAAATCATTTTTGTGTCAATTTGAGTTGTTCTCAATAGTCTACGTCTACAAAATATAAAAGATTGTTCTGTAACCAGTATATTATTGCTGAAAGCATAATGTTATAGTCAATTTTTGAGGCAGATAATCTACTTGTTAGGCTCACATGGAAAATGCTAAAAGCAAAATTACGTATATGAAATTAGATAAAAGTGATATGACATATCTGACAATATTTTAGACAATATATATTTACATTTACTTACTAAGATTTCTAACGCGAATTTCTCATGTGAGCTTCAATCATGAAACAATTTGTATGAAAAAAAAAAGCTATTTTGATAATAATTCCTGTTGTAAAGGAAAGTATTATAAACGAGTAGCGTTGCTAGTTGAAAGGGGTATAAGTAAATTTAAATTTTGACTTTATTTTGGATTTGGCATTATTTTTAACTTCGTATTTTTATTTCAGTAGATACACATATCCCTGAATTTGGTAATATTTGTTTTTGTCAAACGCTTGTCCACATAACCAAAAACTTTGCAAATATACAGGGTAGATTTAAATTTAAAATTTCCAGTCAACTTTAAAATGTTACTTATTTTTTTTTGTAAAATAATTTAATGAGATTACAGGTAAAATTTTACCTCTTTATTTAGAATATACAAAGTGTTATATTTACCTACATTATACAAAGTAGTCCAGTTTATTTCGTCCATATTATAACCAGCCGACAGTTTTTCGAAAAATGAGGGTAGTTTATCCGATGAAACATTTAATTAAATAGCTTTTCATTTATATTAAAAAAAGGCTTTGACAGTTTGTTGACAACTTTATGAGGTATTGTTGGACATGTTACAATAGACCTTCTCATAAAAAAAAATTTAGTGCACATGCGTCAGTGTCGGCCATCTTTTTCGTACTATTTTTTTTTTGTAAACAAACATGTTAAAATGCCCACGTGAAAAAAATTATAATAATTAATTACGTGAGGTGTTCAAGGGGTGAGGGGAACAAG